ATATATATATATATCTATATATATATAGATATATATATATATTTACATGTGGGATGTGTTCTTCCATTTCCAAACACACATATTATGTCATAAAATCTGAACTCCAGGCAAACCGAGGGATTAATAATTCTTTGAAAATCTGTATTTCCAGTTATTTTTGTGATTCATACGCCTCTGCCAGACGTGTTGGAGGGAGTGTTAGAGTTATGGAATACGGTGATGTCGCCTACTGCCCACTGGCTGCCGAGTGGACAATGATGTAGTAGCAATACAAGTCATTAGCTCTGCTCATTCTACTCCCTCCTTCTGTCAGCATGTATCTAGTCTACCATTTACAGCATTCTTATATTATTAATAATAATAATATAAATACTGAAGTATTGTTTTTGTTTATAGAACTGTTTTATTTGTACTGGATATTAACATTTACAATTTCAGATTTAAACTTTGTCTCAGTTAACTAACAATATATTTTGCCATTATGCCATCATTTTTCCTTATTTTACATGTACTACATTTTATTTAAAGGGAAACTATGTACATGAATCCAAAAGAACCATTTTTAGGCTTATTACACAAAGCATCTAAACACAGTAACTTCATTGTTGAACATTGCTGTTGTGGTTGTGACCCAGCTGTAGTAGCTTTAGCAGAATTAATCTTTAGAAAAATTGTAAATAATTGTTAGCATTAATTTAAAGGTCTCCCTAAAGAAACCTGTGCTTTTCCTTTTCAGGAAAAAGCAAAAGGTTTGTTTTAATCCCCCCATCTTCATAAATGTACCTTTCCTTCACTGCCTTGCTGCTTTCTTTATTCCCTTGCTGCTGGGAGCTGAAACAAAAACCCATCACTTTCAGATATGGAGAAGCAAGTGACTTACCCCAGGTGACACTCTTAGGCCAGTCCGGGCCATCACGTGGGGAGTTCATAGTCACGTGTAAGCTATGTCTCCAGCATTTTTTGGCTGCTCATAGCAAGCATTCACCTTCCAACTATAAGGTTTAGAAATAAATAAGGGAAGCTGATTGGTTGATATGGTCAACAGAAATAGTGCTGTTTGCACACTGTTCATATATCAGGTCTACCATAATGAGTAATAATATAATTACCAATGAAGCAGCTCAGTCAAATAGAGACAATGGGTTTTTTGACAGATGGTGACATCACATCCCATCCCTGTAGCCACAAGTCTCCCCTAAGCCTGTTCAGGCAGCCTGTAAACTGCTGGAAGAACAGATGGTCCTTCCTGCTCTCAATTTTGGCATCCTATATAGCCATTTAGGAGCTAATTTCTAATTAAAGGTAAATGTTTAAAGCACAACTCTGGGATGGAGAACTTCAAGGGTTAAATGCTCAGTACATTTAGGGGTAGAGGAAAAAGTGTAATACTTACCTAACTTCTTGCTCCAGCAGTCTCCCTCCATCTGTGCTACCGGTCTTGCGATGCCTCCTCTCTAAGTGCTCCTATCTACAGTCACACATCTGCCCCCTCCACATACAATGCAAAGCTACGAGTCCTGCATTTCACATAATGACTCCAAGGGACCGGCCACAGCCCGGAGCATCAGGGAAAAAAGGAGAGTGCCGAAGTTGGCTAGTGCATGGGTTATAGTAAGTAATACAGCCTCTTTCTCTTCCCACTAATTTAATCTTGCAGTGCAGGGAATTCCCACTGCAATGTTTTTTTTAACTTTATCCCAGAGTTGAGCTTCAACTTTTTATAATCTTTATAATTTTGATGAAGGCTTAAACTGCAGATAAGACAAACGAAGCGGGATGTAATTAGAAGAGAGATGCTGGTTTGATAGGCACAATGTAAAAATCACTCAGCTGGTAAATGGGGAAAATAGAGGTTCAACTCGGAGAGCATTGACCTCCTGGGCTTAGTAGACATTCACCCTCCTTGACCTGCTGTAGCTATACCCCAGTATGCCTATATTGAGAAGTAGGATACCTGACTAGGAGTAGCTCTCAGTGCTGCCTAAGTGCATACCTAAAGACCACTTTAATCAGGTTTAAACAAGGCATCTTGTGGGAAAATGTGATAGAAAAGACCCAACAGCTGTGTTTTGATTATTATATCATAAAATGTATATTATAAATTCAAGCAGTGAAAGTACCTGAATTTGACTTGATATCAGTCTTTTGCAATCCCTTTTACAGGAGCTCTCAGACGGAGGCTAGCCATACATAAATACATATTTCTTGTTCAGCATGGAAAAATCACTTGATTCCTCTATTCACGCTAAACAGCCTGTATTGAGAAATCTCCGCTGCCGTTTTTCTGAATACCCAAACAGTCATGCAAATGCAGTCACTGTTCTGCCAAAAGGGCCATCCACAGCTTGAGATTCATCAGGAATCGGCCAAAATTTGAGCCATTTAAGGGTAGCTTGATAAAAGGAGAAGCCAGACAAGGAGACAGTCAGTTGTGCTGCAGTTTCCATGTGCAAACTTGCTTATAGGAGGAGAGAGCAGAGTAACAGAGAGATGAACTCATCAGTTTGCTTCTTCTCCTTTGGGTAATCCCATTCCTGTCCTTGTCTTTCTTCATAATAATACAAGAGAAGCAGCTTGACTACCATGGAATCTGCTTCTGATTGTCAGTTACAGGCTGTAATTCAGAAGCAAAACAGTGTGCTATAAAAATTATATCCTACAGCGAAACTAAGGATGTAAAACAGAGGTAAGAGGGAGAGGTAAAATGAAGGTAGAAATAGGCATTCCAAATGGAATCTGGCTCCAGGGCCGGCATACAGAATGGCCTACAGTGTAACCACAATGGTCACACATACAGTAGGTAAGGCTACCTATGACTTTGTCCCTTGTCAATAATGTCTGCCCATTTTGATTGACATTTATGTTTCCCTGTATGGACATTAAATAAATTCAGCATGGACGCAGAGGCATGAAGCAACTTGGGGTCACAAGGCACATGACAAGAACACCACCTAAGGAATGCTCAGGAATATTGCTGCTAAGGTCCAGGTGTTACATTGCAGTTAAAGCATCTGTTCAATACAGGACTCATAAAACCCTGAAAGCGAAGAAAATAACTAACTCTAATAAGCGAAATGACAGCTAAGTACATTGTTAAACACATTGCACTCTAAGTAGAGTTTCTGACTGAACATATATTTCTTTCACAGATCATCAGACTCTGGAACTTCAGGGCTGAAGAGGATGTCAGAGGATACTATAATATGGGGATGTTGAGATGCCCATCCTTGAGGTACTCTATTAAAGGATTTCCTTGAATTGAAGGGGTTTGGTATCATATCAAATGTAAAGTCATTCAGAGATGGCATGTCAAACTCCGGCATCTTGAATGTAATCATCTTGGATGCCTTTTCAAACCCACCAAATGGAGTAGCCGCCCTAAAGTGTGAAGAGAAAAATAGCAGCAAGTGAATATACTAAGCACAACAAAGTTATTAAGTTGTCTTGACCAATGACAACAAATTAAAGAGTATTAGAGGCTACAGTTGCATAATTAAAGACTGACCAACCAAAACTGATATTTCCATTTGCAACATATACTGATGAGTAGATTCACCCACTGGCCTCTTATGTTTTCTGTAGACATCGACTGTATGTTTTCCTGACTGTACTTTCTGGTTCTTACACAGATTCTCACTACTAGATGGAACATATGAAGTGCCAGTGGTCCTAGTTAATTCTTCTCAATTAAAAAAAAAATTACAATTAAACGTGGTAAGTGAGACCCTTTACATTTGTCGTTACCTATGGTTTTATATTAAACCCCGAGGATTAAAGCTCTTACTGGAAACATTCTCGGGAGCTAGAAGAATCCAAAGGTAGATTAGTCACAGCTGCAGGGAGTTGAGAGGCTGATCTTGATGGACAGCTGTCCTTTTCAGACTTATTAGCTACAGTATGTAGCCATAGTATCTATATTTCTGTAAGCATATTGCCAATTGCTATGACACACAAACAACAGGAACAGCACTAACAAATACCTTGGCCAGGGTTTTCTATGAAGAATTCTGCAAGGGTAACATTACCCTGCTGTTACTGACACCTGCCCCTGTTAGATCCTCCATAGGATTACAAGACAAATCAAGCTTAGATCGAGTGACACTTGGCTTAAAGTCAGACAGGCTTGTCATAACTGTAGCAGGTGTAGGGCAGGATCACCCCGCTGGACTTCTGGTATTCACCCCAGACAGGATAATTTGTTTTGGCTGGGTTATGGTGGTCTACCAAGGGTAGTGCCACTATCGGCAGCCAAGCAGCTGAAGGGTGTACAGAAGCCAAGAATGGAATGGCTCTTATCACTCATGAACTGTAAACTTAGAAGTCATATTATTTCTCATGATCTCATGCTTCTCTTCTTATTTCAACTTTATATATGATATTAAAGAATAACTTTAGTTGCCTATTTCAAATGCTGCTGAATTCACTTACAAAGAATACTGCTCCTTGATGCTGTAAAGTTTTCCTTTCTATCTGAATCAGATGGTCCCTGACCCTGACCTGGCTTTAGGGTGAGCTCCGTTTCCTCCAGGTTCCCATGAAAGTACCCTTTCATGAGTGCCCCCAGGATCCCCTCAGGCTACTAATACATGTCAGCACAGGCATGATCCTCAGATCGGCAAAAGTTCATGAATGGCAATGGACAAATGCACGTTGGCGCTAGGCATGATGGCATAGGTGGTCCCAATTAATGCAGTCTAACAAAATTACATAATTAATATGCACTCCCTAAGAGGAAGTTCTGTGAAGCAAAAGGAAGCAGGTTACTAATGGAAAAAGGTGAGTTTTTTTTCAAGTGTTTCCAAAGGAATCTTCTGCCATAATGTAATAAAATAATGGATAATGATCTGTTATTGATTTGGTTTGTGAATACAAAAGAGGCATCAGTACTACTTTAAATGCATGATATTTCTTAACACAGATACAAAGTACAACCATTAAACAAAGTTAATATACTGTATGTGGCATATTTAAAGCTGAATTCCAGGATAAGCAAATATTGTCTAAAGACAAGAGTGTGTATTCTTACTTGAATCTTAGTGTGATTTGTGTATATCTTCCAAATGTATACCCTAATCCAGTGCGAAAGTTTACCTCTGTTCAGGACCTTCCTGTAATAAAGACTGGTCACTACTACTCTCTTTCCTTGTGAAGGGTGACTGACCTTGTATCCGCCCCCTCCTGTTGTTTTTTGCAGGCATTCTGTAGTAGGTGGAGCCTGCTGGGTCCCTCCCAAAGCTCTGCTATCTGTACAGGCTATGTACAGCACAGTGGTGATGTCACTGCTACTTTTATATGGTAACAACTGAGTTTGTAAAGGCATTTGGTGCACACTAAATGCATTTAAATCCTCTGTGGCTATTAAGGAATGTATTTAATTGAAAGTTTGTTTGTCCAGAGTTCAGCTTTAAAGCCTAATTAAACTTTCAGTTTAAATCAGCTAAATACATTGCAGGTGCAAAAGGTGTTGAAAGTCCTACAGTTCCATGTCTTTAGAAATCAGCCACAACGGCAGAAAATCTGTCCCCTGCCAGTAAAAAATTACCATTGCTTTCTATGAAGAAGCAGCGGTCTCTCTTCAGAGGTCCAACATGCCCCCACTCCCTCCTTCAGAGCTCATGCTCCCTGCTGATTGGAAAGCTTCATCTTTGACTTAGCAGAGGCGTGTCAGACTTCTGCAGAGAAAAGGGAACCTTTATTATAGCATGCTGGCAGTGGACAGGCTCTTCTACTTAGGCGGTAGCTACTAAGAAGAAAATCAACTGTAAGACTTTGCACATCTGTTGTTTTGATGCACCAAGTGTACAATATTTAGCTGATTCATGCAAAGTTGAGTTGGGGTTTAATGTATAAAATCATTTCTGACTACTAAAAGTAAAGTGCAGCTCTAGGGATTGTATTGCGAACTGAACTAAGCATTTGTCATGCCCATATAGAAAGGTTTATGTCTGCCAGTTTGATAAAGATTAGCTGTGACAGGGGCCTTCAGTTTTGTACTGACCCATGCTCAGGTCTGTTAGTAGCTTTCGTCTCTCTGCCATTGTGACGGCACAGCTGACCTGAGGTAATTTGGCAGACACTCAAATCATTGTTAGGTACTTAACTGCTTCCACCAAAACAGTCATTCCAAAGGGAATAATTGTTTTAGAGGTCAATGTCTTGCCATCAAATAGCTATACCGATAGCTGGCAAACATAGCAGCTTAACTTTGTGCATATAAATGTCCATATGACACGCCTGAATTCTTTGTCTTATATTGCTTTGGGCAGTCTTCACAAATCGACATTAACCTGTTTTGTCGCTTTTGTGGGTGGACCATTTTTAATAAGTGAATTCAACGTCAAGATTTCAGTTCAGGCATTTTTTGATACATTGATATAATTGCAAATCTGCGCTTATGGATGAATACCCTCTAATAAATCAATAACAGAGCTGCTGCACACCAGACAACTAGGTCCAAAATTCAAATTAATATTGTATAAGCTAGCGCTGCTTATACAATATTAATTTGATTTTTTGATACATTAACTGCAAGACATTTATGTCTATTAACACGTAAGCTGAAATATTAGTTGCCATGCACGTTTCTCTAAACTGATGTTCAACTACAGAAAAGGCTTGTTCACACCATCTCCAGACCAGACCAAAAATGTATACACATTAGGGGTCTACCGATTATCAGATGTACCGATAATTGAGGCCAATATTCTCAAGTTTTGAAATTATTGGTTAAAAGTACCGTTATTACTGATAATAAACACCGTGCAAATTTCAGTCAGAAAATCTATAAAGGAACAGCTCAATGGCTGCCGGCTCTGTCCGGTTATTCTGACAGGAGGGGGTGGATAAAAAAAACGACAGATATCAGGGGAAGCAATAGCCAGCCTGCTATTGCAACTTGCAATAGCCAATAGCAGGCTGGCTATTGCACCTGCCCAATGCCTGCTGTCAATCAGAAGAGGACCTGAAGGCCGCCGGCCGCTGTCAGGATACGGAAAGAAAAAAACAGCAGATAGCAGGATGAGCAATAGCCAGCCTGCTATTGGCTATGTCAAATTGCAATAGCCAACAGCAGGCTGGCTATTGCACAGTCCACTGCCTGCTGTTTACATTCAGCTGCCGGGTGTGGAATCATGCCGCCGGCAGATGAATGGGGAGGGGGGAGCGCAGGCTTAGTAGGGGTCAACCGATATCAGGTGACTACCTGCGGTTTACATTCAGTTGCTGGCACAGCTGGATGTAAACAGTATATTGGTACCTGAAATTGTTTATCGGCCTGAAAGGTGGCCGATAATCGCTATTGGTTGTGAAAAATCCATATCGGTATATCGGTATATCGGTCGACCTCTAATACACAATAATTCCCATGGTGAAAATGAAGCTAGTTCACACCGTTGCATTCATGCTGCATTTGTTTCTCTGGAATGCACCAAGAACACATGCAAACACATGTAAACGCACCAGAACACACTGGAATGCGCTTCCAAACCCAAGCAAAACCAAATGAGGAGGAAAAACCTCACCAGAGCGCATCAAAATGCATAAAACATTAGCATAAATGCATTTGCAGAAAAACATCCAGATCTGGTCTGGAGATGGTGGGAACAAGCCCTCAAGAAGAACTCCAGGTTTTAGAAATATTAACCCTTGCAGTCGGGCTACCCCCGCACTGCAAGGGTTAACTGCTCGTTTTTCTCCAGGGGCTCAAATAAAGAAGAAATAATCACCTGATCCTTGGTCCTGCAGAGGTGACCGGACTCCTCTTTCCCCCCTCTGCTTCGGATGGGGTATGTCTAATACAGGTGAATGGACTGTATTAGATGCTATTACATAAGCAGGGCTTAGACCACTGGGGCACGGGAAAGGCTGCGGGGGCTGCCCTAGCAGCCAGGCGCGATTGATGATCAGGTTTTTTTAATGAAATGCCTATACATACCTTTTTTCTTGAAGTCTTCTAGTTAGACCAGCGCCATTGCGGTAACTTCCTCCTGAGTTGGGGTGGGGGCATTTTTCCTAGGATGTGCAGCACTGACGTATGAGTGCTGCTCAGTACTAAAGTAATACCAACATGATGATGTACCTCCTAGGGAACATGTTAACAACATGCTGGCTCACAGGAATTGGGAGAATGACCTGACTATTGTTCTGCCTGAAGAGGGCTGCTGGCATTGGACTAAGGAGGAAGCTGGGGGCAGTACTAAAGCCTAGATAGAGCAAGTAGAACATAGCAATTTTTTAAACACAGGATGGGGGGAAGGATTAAAATAAAAAAAAATAAAAAAAACATTAGAGTCACATTTTAACACCCGATAAAGATTCTAACCCCTCCCCTCCTATATACACAACTCAAAGTTTGACTGGGTTGGACTTTAAAGTGACACTAAACTTGTTCCCCATGGTCCCTGCCTGTGTTGTAATGAAGACACCACTCCAAGCTTGCTCCCGTGATGAACTACAATCCCGCATTTAAGTTAGTTCACGTTTAGTGTACACATTTGTATTGAGATTGCAGCAGCACTGTAATAGCTTGTAATCCTGTAATAGATTGTAATAACACTGCAGCTTACAGCTATGAAAATTCTTTGTCAGAGTCTTGTGAACACTGCTTGTTGTTTGCAAACAATCCTATTTCCTTCAATGTGAAAGATTTAGTGTTGAAATGATTACATCACATATTTTAATAAACAGATATTACATCAGCAAGCAAGAATGAATAATAATACCTGTATAACTTGGTTAATAGAAATACTGTTGTTAATATGTATTACCGTACATACGCTGAGCATATTAACTTGAGGAAAAAAGTTAGGAAGGAAAGAAACATCATTCAAATATAAAGTACTTTTGGTATAAGCACATACTGTGCATACATTAAATTCTTTGCCCTGTGAGACATTTTCTCTCTTTTCCATGAGTCAATTAAGAACTGACATCATTGCACACTTAATAATAGGTTCCAACAGCTGTTCATAAGACCTTATTATCCTCAAATTCCTCTAACATATTTGATATTTGGAAAGTGGTGCACTCATTCTGCTATTTTGACTGTTACTTGAACGCTAACATCATATCAAGTGTTTTTTTGCTAAGAATGATCTATTACAATGATTTTAGGGTTTCTTGACCTAACCATGTGTTTTACTGTACCTTGACCATGCTTAGCCATTGCTTTTATATACAGTATATACATATATATATATATATATAGTTTTGTAAAACAGCATTGCACAGTAGTGCAAACATTTAATATATCTACCTGTTAAAACTCCTGTAGTCAGGAGGCAGCATCTTGTCCCCTGGTGCAGGCAATTTAGGGTTCAAAGATTCCAGTAGTTCCGGTTCGTTGACAATAGCTTCTTCCCAAGGAGACATATAGTATTTAGGAACTGCTGTCTCATTAAATTTTTCGGGTGGGACTTCTTTAAGTGGACCAGTGTAACCTAGGTAAGCAAGAAAGAACCATAACCATCAGATAGCCACGATGTTAACAAAACCTCTGCACATGATAACATTCCAATGTGCAGTAACATACATAAAATAAATGTTTATACTGTATAATAATTCTAATTTCTATTGTGTCAAGTGTGTCTATGGAAATGTGGCAGCTGAACAGGAGATGGTATTTGGTCTATGAACAGTGATCAGACGGATGGTGTCATGGTGTAATGTGTGATATTACTACTATGTGATGAAGGGGACCCTGCACAGCACCAAAACATTGCTATTTTCTATGATGACCTAATAAAGCTCCATTGAGTTTAGGATTGGTGTCCTGGTGACACATTGCTTCACAACAGAACACAGCCCCCCCAGTCTATCCTTTTCAGGTGAAAATGTCAACGCATGTGAACTTCTCCAGCTGGCTTCTGTATCCTACCACTATCTATTGACTGCTGTATCCATACAACCAGGGCCGGATCTGCTCTCTCTGCTGCCCTAAGACCAGGTTCCTCAATGCCAACTACCCGTCCGGACATTAGAAGATAGGAATTCCACACCCGTGCTGCCCCTCTACTCCCTGCTGCCCCGAGGCCGGGCCTTGGTTGGCCTTGTGGGAAATCCGCCCCTGCATACAACTCTTATTAGGAACAGTTTGTGAAGATTGCTCTAGCAGTATTTTACTGACTAATAAGAATAATTAATGAATAAAACATATAAAATGGGTAAGTGTGCTAATTGTAATTCAAACATATCTGTACATTATGGTTCACTTAATATGCAACCAGCTTGTAATAGCTATTTTTTTCCACCAATGAAAGTAGCAGATAAAACAAATCTTCTTTATTCCAGATAATAAAAAACACTTGTGTGAGATGTTTAAAACATAAAGACATTTATAATGATGTAGCTGCTATCTTTTCAAATGTAATGCTTAACACAACATAACAAATGCATCAGATCATGTTGGTTTAGAAATGGCTATGACTATGCCATTATATAACTGTAATCAGTATCATTTGGTTTTCATCCAGGAGAGATTCCTCCTATCCTTATTACCTTTTGATCCTACAGAGAACTATTAGTCCTATTCAATAGAAATACAAGGGGCAAAAGGCTAGTGCAAAGTTTAAAAATCATAACCCATAAAAAACAATCAAAGCTTTACTTAGTGTGGCTTACAGGGGCCTTTAACTGGGCTGTACTGTGTCAGACATTCGTGAAAACAGCCAAGTACTGGACAGCCTCTGGGATTTACATGATTGTGTTATCTCTGAGTCAGCATCTGCATCAAGGAATTAGATGCTGACCCTAGATGATGACTGAACAAAGATAGCTCCATGCTTCTGGGAAGAAAAGCAATGAAAGCATTGTCGGGGGGAATCACTATGATCTCTGTGAGAAGTGTGTTAATACATGCATAAATGTATCATAAAAAGATATATATGATGATAGGTCTGCTTTAAGTAAAGTGAATTCTGAGTGGTTCGCTTATAGCACTTTATTTCTTGCACTGTTTAGTGAGTAAAACAGGTTATGATATTGCCCATCAGGTATAATTGTTAAGGTACGCATTATATACCTTCACACTGTTTCTATCAATAGTACACTTATAATAAATAATAGTATAGGATAGATTTATAGATAGATAGATAGATAGATAGATAGATAGATAGATAGATAGATAGATAGATAGATAGATAGATATTGAGGTTCTGGCCATTATCAGAGAAAATTGATGTGCAGACATGTCACTTTGTTCAATAAGAAATAAGACTTCTGTTCACTCTTTTTTATAATTGCTGTACACTTACATCAACTTTTTTAAAGCTTTTATTGTTGTAATGACAAAAAAGGTAATATCCTTTACTGGTTTTGAAGATTTTTCAACATATATGATTTTTTGGACCTATGATCAGTTTTATTGCTTGCCAACATTCTCTATAGTTCTCTTGTTAATAGTTGATTATTACACAGGCTGATTACCACTAGCAGTGGGACTGATCCATACTGTGTATGATCAGCTGGAGACCCTTTAATTTAAAGACACACAAAACACATATGATGTACAGAGTCCAGAGTGTTCAAAATTATAAAGTGTACCTGGTGCAATGGTTTCTGGGTTTGGAGCACTTCGAGGATCTGGAGTATTAGGAGGTGTCTGCGGAGCTGTCTGTTGTGCAGATCCAAAAGAAATTGCTTCTGTATTTCCATTCTGCTGTATCTGATTTTGCTAAATGTAACATAGGAGTAAATGAATATTGGCTAAATAAGTACATTATAGTAGTTTCAATGAAAACAAATGTCATTCAGCAATTCAAATAAAAGAAC